AGACTATTACCTTGCTAGGTAGTATTAACATTCAAACAACAGATATTTCTCCGATTACACCCTTGGACTCTGACCCACTCCTTTTATGCCGTAATGGGAGGGTTCGCGGAGATCGTCGATGGCTCCCAAGAAGGATCAACACCTCCGTATTGCGTCCTGACATGGGCGGAGGTGTATCAAATTCTGAAAGAGGATCCCAATCGAGTGCCTGACATCTCTGAAAAGCACATCCTCGCTCGCAGCCAAAACGATACCCTCACGAAAGCGATTGCAGTGACTCAAATATTCTCATTTTGCACCACATGCATCTTGAGACGAGCCGAAAGGCTCTCAACTAGTGTACTCGAGATCTCGACCATAGCATACGCGGTCTGTGCTATTGTCTCGTATATACCATGGTGGAAAAAACCACTCATCATGGCGGAACCTACCCTGATAGAGAAGAACAGAATACATCCTCGTCGTTCTTCTCCGAGCCGTAGATCGAAATCACCTAGGGTCGCTTGGTGGATCAGGCCAAATCCTCTAAATAAAGACAAACCGAGCGCGACTGCTTATATTCTGCCAACAATATATGGCCTCCTACATTTACTTGCATGGGACCACCCATTTCCGACACATGGAGAGCGTATCCTATGGCGGGTCTCTGTCATTACGGTATCGGCGTCGCTTCCTGTTGCCTTTGTTTTCGCATTCATCTACTCCTGCTTCATCAAAGAGGGTGAACCAATCGAAGAAGCCTTTGAAACCATCGCTCTCCTGACATATACTCCAGCTCGATTATTCATGCTGGTAGAACCATTTCGACAACTCCTTTACCTTCCACTAGACGCGTACAAAGTTGCTTCATGGTCCAACTATTTGCCTCAGTTTGGGTAAATTGAGCGGGTTCTATACCTATAATATGCGGCACAACGGCCTTCATCCAGAGAATAATAATGTAAATAGATCAGAACTATACAAGATCTCATTATGTTAGATATAACACATCCCGTGGAAAGAAATACAGGTAAATACAACATTATAACCCACAAGGAAATGAGAAACGACAACAGGGAATAATATAACAGAAGTGTGTATCAATCATCATCCAAAGTAAGGTCGATGACAGTGCCATGAAGCGACGGGTCCAACAACCTCGGAGGTTCTTCGTCTTTCACGAGAGTGAGGTCGATAAACTCTCTCTTTACTTTCTTACTCGGACGATGTGAGTCTGAAGCCTGAAATCGAGCGTATAGCGTGAGAACACAATATTGGAAGAAAGAGGATTTCTTACAGTTGAACTGCTGCGAGTATTCGTGGATAGTTCGGGCTTAGGTAACGGTAATGAAGGGCTCCGAGGTCTCTTCAACTTCGGGAGTTGTGATACTTGTGTGTTATTTGAAGGTTCAGCTATCCCTTGGGCACGCAATAGCGCTAATGATGGTGTTAAATTATCTCCTGTGTATGATATATTTCACGAGCAAGATACCTACCTTGAGGTCTGTATTGGAACACGAATTTAGCCCAATGACCCTCTCCAGGGTACAAAGGTTTACTGCGGCTTCTAGGATCAGGAGCACACGTAACTGGCTTGCCGAGCCTATTTAAACGCGTTCAGTGTAACGCGAACACGACAAGAACAATAATGCTTACGAGACACAATGTCCACCCACCTTCTTGCTTTTCTCATGCAGTGGACCGATATTGTTTGGTACATGAGGATGCCAGTTGATTGCACTATTGTTGGAAGGCAATCGTATCGCACGCGTGACTATGACTTCAATTGTGCCAAGTTTTGACAGAACGGAGTTGTCAATCATTACATTCTCGTCATCTGTACAATGGCACCTGTCAGAGAGCGATACGTATATCAGGCATAAATGACTCACCAACAAGGACCAGATCTGAAAAGACGTATGGTAACCTTTGGGTTGGAGAAACCCGCACTCCGAATCGTGAGCTAGATCCATGACGCTGGGTCATGGAAGAGCCCATATGTCGACCGTCTATACGACATTGCACAGTGGCCTCTTCATTTATCGAGGATTTCCATCTGATTTCGAATTTCTAAAGCAATTAAAACTATTAGCAAACTGTACGCCTCGTTCGTTTGTAGTAGTGCGATGTATCTACCTTTCCACTTTGACTGGGAATGAAACAGGTTGTAGTCTTGGATCCTTGCTCTAGTTTGACCTGATACTCAGGTAGGTTTTCTCCGTCTGCTTGTACATATACCTCAAAGTTGTTCAATTTCATAGTCGTTGGTTGTAAACAGTAACTTGTGGCAAGCCTGAGTGGCCACCGTCGCGTATACGGGTAACGGGACTCATGGGCGTCTACGCCACGTGAAGGTGAGATACTGGCGAGATCTGACTCAGATCTGGATCTTATACATAGATTCTCGGACTGGACTGAAGAACAACAGCGGAGCCATGCACTATACTAGACTCCTTAAATTCACGAGAACTGAGGTAGGTACTTAAACCAAGAAACAAATTAATAAACATCGTATAGAGAAGTCGTCGAAACGCTATTACTATAAACCTGCCTAAGATTCTGTCTCGGATTAAGCATAGTAGGATGACGTACTGGGTACCAGTGCAAGGCTTCTTCCTAAAGTCACTCACGCCGGTTTCATGCAGTGGTAAACGATCTGAAAGGAGAAGCATATGAAGCACGTCGACTTTGCCGGTAATCACACGTGGGTAGAGCGCAGTTAAGCACGACGCAAGCATATGGAGTGTGCTGAGAGGCTTCAAAGAATCGTTCGGGTCCGTAATCAGGGCCAGACTCAATCGAACAAACCAAACATAAATCTTCCTGGAATTCGCTGCAGTTTGCATACCCAATAACTCTTGAAGAGGTTTATCATTCACCCCGCGAATCGTCAAGGGGGTAATCTATATCATTGATAAAATCCAGCTGAAACGTACATCACTACGTCATAATCCTAATCACTGGGAACTCATGATACGTTCCAACGCCTCCAATGCTTCCTCTCTCGATAGAGCCGCAAGTCTTGAACCAGTGTCCACGAGAGCAGGGACACTTATATTCGGACATGTAGGCATTTCGGGTACGGAGGCTTTTGCAGCGTGGAAGACTAGACGTGCGATCACTTCGCCCTAGGAGAATTAGATTGAATGTCAGTGGGTAATGAGATCATTGTGTAAGGAATGTACATACCACTTCGACCAGGCATGCAACTACGATGAGCCTGTTTGCGCAGTGTGCTCAGAAATATATAGTCTTAAAGAAGATTGAGCCTGCTTACCAGATAATAATCCATGTTATCCGTTCCATGGCATTATTATTCAAATGATCATGAATCGCACCAAGCTACAACTCATTCAGAATAATTCAGAATAATCATCCAAAATAAAAACGCACCAAATCCTCCGCAACGGCCAACTTCTCATTCAACACCCCAACTCTCTGTCCAATCTCCATATACTCTCTCACCGCATCATACAACGCTCTCAAACTCGCTTGTCCTTGGTCCCAGAACAGTTCCGGCACATCAAGAACATTGCTGACTAAATTCACGTCCCTCCGAAGCTTGAATAGTTTTCCGGTGATCTTCAATGCTTCCGTGCGCGAGAGATGAAGTGAGCCCGTCGAGGCGAGTTGTTGGGGGATGGATGTTGTAGAGGGTGCTGAGAGGATCGAGTGCGTGATAGTTTCGTATCGAGCAAGGAGGGTGGATTGGGCAAGGGCGTGTGAGACGGAGAGGGTGTGGAGGAGTGAGTGGGATTTGAAGGCTACGAGAGGATTAGTATTTTGATATATCATGAGACGTGATTTGTCCTACTGAAGAAGTCATTGTAAACTCGAGGGTAAGCAATATACGGGTCATACTACGTTCTCGTCAATTATCTTGAATAGAAAGGGAAGATCGGAATAGACATACGGCGTAATAACATTCTTCGACTTCCCAACGGGCTTCTTCTAAGGGGCTGCGCATGACCCCCGCGCTCTGGACGTCATCCAGAATAGCTTGCTCTTGCTCCTCCTCGAGGCCAAAGAAGACGACAACACCATACGAGAAGAAAACGACCTCGGCAAATTCGTCAGCTTTCCGTTTACCCAGTTTATTCTCACTGGCAGATTCCGATATGTGATATCGATGTCTGGTGTGTACACATCTGCTTGAGCTGGTAATGACGTGATGTAGCCTGAGTCTTCTGCTTCAGAGACTGGGATGGGTGGTTCTTCCGAGTCAGAGGAGGTGGGAACAGAGGAGCGGATGTTAGAGTTAGGTCCATAGCCAGGAAGCAGAGGTAGATGATACATCTATAAGAATAGATGTGAATATAGCGAAAGGGTAGAAGTAGCATAGAGTAGTACCTACAACGTACATCGCCTCGTCAAACATCCGGGGCTGCACGTTATGTTCGCGCTTGAAGAAACTCGACATGACCTTCATCTTGAATCCCTCCGCAACGCAGTACGCTGTGATCCGCTTGTAGCCTGCCTTCTTCCTCTGCTCTTTGTTCATCCTCTCACCCTCGCTCTTGATGTCCCGCACGCCTGTATCTGTCTCGAAGCCATGGTGTAGAAGTTCGCCTTCGTCCTCTTCGGGTAGTGGTTTAGTCTGAGGTGCAGTGGGGAGAAAAACGAGTTTCTGCTGTGTTTTGGATGTACGCTGGACTTTCGGTGCACCAGCAGACACTGGGTTGATGCTCCCAGCTATTGCCAGTCCAGAGTTGGACGGTCGGCGGGTGGGTGCCCTTGGTGTTGTTCGGGAACGCGAACGTATTCCAGGGATTGGAGTTGGAGGTGGTCGGTTGCTGGCCGGACGAGACATTTATAACGAGGATTGAAACGGATTTCTGACGCAATGTTCGATTAGGGGATTATTCGCGCTTGCGTCAATGTCGATGACAGTCTGAGTAATTTTGAAACGCAATTCCTGCGACAGTTCCCAAATGCCGATTCCTGAAGTGTTCGGCCGCTTGGCGGTCTTAATGGCAATTGCGAGGAGGTACGTGGATTTCAATACAGCCGTAGGAGACGTAGCACTAATGGGGTAGTGGTAACCTGGGTCGTTGCCATCGAGATTCGAAAGTCTCGACCCGCCGGGGGTTCGATTCCCTCTTAGTGCACAGCAGTGGCCTTATGTTATTTTTTGACACCATAACCACCAGGATGCTGTGAGAAGCTGCACTGCTCAGGTTTGGTTCCTCTCAACTTCTAAGGAGCATATTCCCCACTCAAAATCACCGAAGTAAGTTATGCTTAATATCTATAGAGAGCCCAATGACCACAAACACTGGCACATACTCCCACCAATCGTTGCATGTTTCGATCAAGAATAACCACAGTACCACACTGCGGACGTCCGAGCTCCCGTTATTCCACACTCCAACTCGTCAACTGACTCGGTAGGTTCAATATAGAAGACAGAATCCGCTCTCCTCAGGGTATTTATGTTGTAGATCGCAGACTTTTGCCCATGAAGAGAAGCGAGGATGAGATGATGGTTCAGTATAAGACAATTCAAACGTCTGATTGCGACGAAGGGGGACCTCTTCTACTGGACCAGGACATCCCTGCGTTTGTTTGACTTGATTGGTGATCACAGTTGAACCACAAGATGACTCTGGTAGTTGAAGTCGATCGTGAAAAAAATGCAGGGTACTATGTACTCCGACAAGGATTCGTCGGGACATTCGAGCTCTAGGGTCGTCTCAGGGGATAACACGAACGTCAAGGATGAAGACGCATTTGCTCCTGCTACGTCTTGGCTAGGCACGGTTGAAGAAAGAAGACTAGTAAGGAAACTAGACATGCGGATTATGCCGCTTACCTGTATTCTATATCTCTTTGCATGTAAGCTTTACTACTCTGTTTTTTTAAGTCTACTGACGTTGCTAATCATCTGTATCCATTGGTACCGTCAGTCCTTGATCGCACGAATATAGGGAATGCACGATTGCAAGGTCTTCCCGAGGATACTTTGCATGGCGATCCTGCGGGGACATTATTCGATTGGGTGACTTCTGCATTTTTCTTCTCCTACGTACGCACGGTATCGCTTCGCTCGATTGTGCCTCGAAATACTCAATCGTGGTTGTGTTTCTGTCATTTCATCAGATTCTTTGTCAAATCCCAGCGACGGTCATCTCTAAGCTGTTTCCTCCTCGCGTCTGGTTAGGGTGTGCGATAATCGGTTGGGGCCTTTCTTCTACCCTGATGGTAAGCTCTTCGTTCTGATTATAGTCCTTTGGTTTAATCCCGAGAAATTTCGAAACAGTCAACAGCATTCAACTTCCAGGTTTACTCCTCTCTCGAATCTTCGTGGGCATCTTCGAAGCAGGCTTCGGCCCCGCTGTTCCTCTATACTACTGTAAGCATCCTAGTACTCCACTCCCTCGCTTTTGATCGTCTCGTCTATGCTGACCCTATCATCCGTTGCAAAGCGTTCTGGTACACAAAGCATGAAATGGGCACTCGCATGGCCTACTGGTTCGGATTCTCCGCCGTCTCTGGTGCATTCGGTGGGCTTATCGCATTCGGTATCCAACACGCCCATGCCGCAATATCCAATTGGCGTCTTCTCTTCATCGTTGAAGGTGTACCTACCGTTCTCTTGGGTTTCCTTACATTATGGCTCTTGCCGGATCGACCGGAAGAGACCAGCACTTTTGAGTGAACAAGAAAGGGAGATTCAGCGAGAGAGGAGTTGTAGGGGGTTGAAAGCTGATATAGGACGGGTCGTTGTAAAGAGTGAGAGATATCTCTGAATATTTCGGTTTTGTTGGACTTGATTCTAATCTCTTGATCTATAGGGCATGTCTTCGCTGCGTTCGGGACTGGCGGATATATGTTGCTGGGATCATCCAGTTTGGAGCGAACTGCTCTCTCGTTTCTATTCTCGCCTTTTTGCCAACTATCATTAAGACGTTTGGTGTCTGTACGTGTCCTCTTTTCCTATTTCCTGAGCATCATACGAGCTTGTGATATTTCGTTGTTTTATATAGCCAACGCAAAGGCCCAGCTACTAACCGTTCCTCCATATGCCGTCTCTGCTGCCGTTCTCATCATACTATCATACTTCTCGGACCGTTTCCAGAGTAGAGGAATTCCTCTCAGCTGTGCTGCTTCCATAGGCGCAATCGGATATCTGTGAGTTTGGCTATCTGTTGAACCCTCTTATATAATAATAATCACACTTACCCCCCATTTCAGGCTCCTTCTGACGGTACACGAAAACCAACACGTTCGGTACTTTGCCGTGTTCTGTATCACCAGTGGGACATACACCTTCATTGGGATCCTCATTGCTTGGAGTGCGTCTCATTCTTTACGCTCTATCCCATCTTCCATCTAAGAATCCTCTACCCTTTATTCAGCTGCGCATAACTTTGGCTCAGAAACCAAGAAAGCAACAGGTCTGCCTATGTACATGTCGATCGGACAATGTGGTTCTGTCCTAGGGTCGCACATATTTCCTGCTACCGAGGGCCCTCGATACATCAAGGGTTTCGCGATTACATGTGCTCTTGAGTTTCTCGCTGCTATATGTGGGATTATCTTGACGGTAAGCCACTCTTCTTCTAATGGATTGAACTCAAATCTGAATATCGTATTTTTTTTGCAATCAACCATGCAGATCTCGTATAGAATAGAGAATAAGCGTCGAGACAAGAAACATGGAAGACCCGATCCGGACGCTACTGTTGATACCACCGAGTTGGCGGATAAGGTCAGCGTATACTTCAATTCGGTGACCACGGTCTACATTGACAATGTTTGTGGAATGTATAGGCTCCTATGTTCTGATATGTCCCTTAGACCTTTCGCCTTTCTTGGAATGTCGATCTCTGATATTTCTTGACACTACTTGTCATCTTCGGTTTGACTATCTGAAATGATGGAAAAGATCGTCTTGTATAAATACTTAGGTCCAAATTCATTATGGCCGTTGCAATCCAACACTCACTAATGCATTCACTACGCCTAATCTGCTAGCTTTCCAATTAGGTCTTCGATATCCTCCACTTTTGAGGGCACAAAAACTCTCTACTACCTATCAGAATGCTCATTCTGTTTTACACAGTCTTCGACTTGCACATTGCACGTATACTACGAGCCTGCAAGTATGTCCCAGACTGGCCACCTAACCACAACTTCGAACGTAACACAAGTATCTCTGGAGTCCTTCGTGTAACCCTTGGAAAGGAGTACAACTAACTCTTGCCCGCAGATAATACCAAGGCGAACAGCCGGAAGGATGATTTTACCTCCCAACTGTTACATTCCTTGAGGATTGTCCCGGCAAGACGTTCTCCGTAATGGCCATCAAGTCGCGTTTGGGCCGTACATATGTATTGATCGGCTTTCTCCGTAAGGGTCATTGCTAACACAATAGCTAGACTTTTAGAACTAGAACTCTTGATATTTCTCCTGATGCCTGCGATAAAGTATATGGTGTATATCGACACAGGAAAACTAGATATTGGCCGAACGGGGAGTGCACGTATCTGTCGGTCTACAAGTTACGTGAGTGGCTCATTCCCTTCGATATCCGTATCCTTCATTAGGTTGTAACATGCTAGGACAATACATCGGTTGTCCACAATTGCAACGAGCACATTTGCTACGCCGCTAATTGTATTTGACCATTATGTAATGCACCCCGGACCATGCAGATGCTATTGATGGCGACACCACTTGTTAAGTGGCCCTTTCATTGTTCCAAAATGGGACGGCGACGATAACATATTATTCCCGCTATCTCAGACTGAGTAGATAAATAGAACGGCAGTTGGGCGCCACCTTTCATCAATTCCTCTACTCGACGGCCATGATGCAAGATGCACAGTCCACCTCAAAGGTCGCAACCTTTATATGCCCTCTCCAATGCTCATCAATCGCCCGCCTCCCTTTAGAAATTCTCGTTCTTATATTCAAAATCATCCACTCCGCGGCCGCAGACCCTTTCCTCATTGTTTACGACCGATGGCGGTTACCGTATAAATTGCAAGCGGTTTGCATATTCTGGATGAACGCTGTTCGACAAACGCCATCCCTTTGGTCCGTTGTCAACTTCTCTTCCAGGGAGGCCCATAATCTGTCCATTTCAAGAGCTAAATCATATCCTCTCCATCTACACCTCAACTCGATTCACATCGTACGATATCTATCCCCAATTTTACAACGACCCATGTCGCGATTGCCAGTGAGTGGATTACAAAGACCATTATTGGAAGTCTCTCCGTGTCTTTATCGGACAACATCCCACCGCACCGTATCAACACAAACTTGCCGAATCTGCGAAAACTTATTATTGACTCAAACGCCGGGCCCTTCGTGCAACTACGAACTCCTCTTTCACCTAGCTTGGAAGAGGTGAGGTTAACCAATGTGTTCTTTTGCAGTCTACTCAGTCCATCAAATATCCGTGTATTATCCATCGCCACTAATCGATATCCCTATGAGGTGCGCCTAGACCCACAAGTAAAAGGCCTGACCATCAAGAGCATCGTAGGGGTGCTCAGCAACTGTCCTAAATTGGAGCATCTCTCGCTCATAAATATCGACAACATGTTTGCCACGCATGGGGCTGGTCACCTCAACCCCTCTAGGATTTCGATCCCCCTCAGACACTTGAAGAGATTGCATTTGCGCATGAATCCTGTCTTTACTTCCCCACTTCTCTCCCACCTCATTATTCCTACAGAAACTCGTATATCTCTCTCCGCGCGCCTCAATCCTTCACAAATCGATTTCCAAGTCATGTTTCCCCCTCTATTCCCCAACCGATCACAAGGTCTGATGGTGATTCCCGAGCTGTATTCTGTCATCTTGGTGACACTGGGTTATGGTGCCTTTCGTATCTTATACTCTAGGAAGGCATGCACTCCTGGAGACGGGGTTTTGGGAGTTCCCTGTCTAACCGCAAAATTTAATTGGCCTTTCAGTAACCGCGCTGTGGATATGGGTGAAGTAGCATATGCTACAATTCTGTGACTACCCTTCCCGACACCAGCCGCTCAAGTGAAGGATATCCATCTTATCCTCCGGCGACTACATACAAAATACATCACGTCTGCACAATGGAAAACGATCTTCTCTCGATTCGTAGGGGTCACAAGTCTCT